CCGCTTCAAAGAAAGTGCCGCTGACAAGGTCGGCGGCACATCCAAAATGCTCTATAGACTTACAAATCCTACAGGGAGTAGTTACAGCCCTAAATACATTCAGATTCACTTAAGTAGAAGTAAGGCAGCGAGGTTTACCCCTGCCCATTCATTTAGTTTGGTCAGTTGAAAATAAAATAAAGAAATGACATCTGAAGCCTGATTTAAGATCACTAAAATGCATCATAAGCTAAGCCACCAAAACAGTACCCTCGTTGACAAATCGCTGTAGTCAGGTAAACGCAAACGAAATTAACTGCAGCGCGCGGTCGGTGTTGGCGCGGGAATTGCACCAAGGTAGTCTTAGGCGATGCACATCGAAAAGAAATGAGAAAACCCGACCACTAACGTCCTTCCTCACCTTACACTGTTGCAAAGCGACGTAAATGACACTGCAGAACTAACACCATTCCATCAAATTCACTCGCCTGAACGCAGTTATCGCAAAAGGCCGCTGCATTCGCGCTTGATCCTAGCCACTCAGACGTCCCCGCACCTTATTGTATACCGTGACACTTGATGTTGCCCCAGAAACTTCGGTAAAACAGTAAATAATTTTGACATATAAGAAGTTATTTATTGGCAAACAGGTAATCATACTAGTTACAAATAGGAAGATTAAATTACGATGATGAAATATATGTACAGGGAGAAATTGGTCAAAAAACTAATCGTCAACCTTCAACGATCTACAGCAAACAAACGTCTATAAGCGACGCATACACTGTCCCCTACTTTTGGATGTTCTCTGATCTAATAAGCAGTCTGTCTCTAAAATGGTGAACCACAGTGGACGGACTGTCGTCATTCTGTCTGCGAAGCAAAAGGCGTATACAAATAATTAAACACATCTGTCTGCCAAAACAAGGCAATCGATTTCTAACCCGAGAATTCCATTACCACCTTCCAATTTCGGCATTGTCGTCTTTGGGCAGCGGTCAATTGACAGGATGAAGCGTTCTTATTTGATGATTCATCACAGTTTTGTCCACTCGACGATGTCTCCATTGGGAACTTACTATTGTACGCCTGAATGCGTTTCCCTCGAGTACCAACTTCTGCAACTACATGCACAACAGTGAATTTCGGCTGCTCCTTTTCAACCTCCACCACATCATAATTATGTACTTTGTTGGCTTCTTCCTGCTGTTGCTTCTCCTTCCCCTGCGAATAACAAACAAAATGAAAAGGAGTAAAAACAGGGTGACTAAGGGGCAGGAGAAGCAACAGCAGGAAGAAGCCAACAAAGTACATGATTATGATGTGGTGGAGGTTGAGCAGGAGCAGCCGAAATTTACTGTTGTGCATGTAGTTGCAGAGGTTGGTACTCGAGGGAAACGCATTCAGGCACACACTAAGATATTCCTAATGGACACATCGTCACGTGGACAAAACGGTGATAAATCATCAAATAAGAACGCTTCATCTCGTCCAATGACCGCTGCCCAAAGACGACAATGCCGAAATTGGAAGGTGGTAATGGAGTCCTCAGGTTAGCAACTGACTGCCTTGATTTGGCAGACAGATGTGTTTAATTATTTGTATAAGCATGTTGCTTAGCAGTCAGAATTACGACAGTTCTTCCACCGTTGTTTACCATTTTAACACTTTTTATATTATTTGTTATCCGGCTTTTCTGATCCCGCTCCCTGTTCTCCATCTCTTCATTACCATCATCATTTTTCTCCTTTTCCGCATCATTTCCGTTGTTTGACTTATCCTGTTCTTGCTCCCCCCTTCCTTCTCTTGTCTCCGTCCTTGTTCATGGTGCTGCATCTTCTGTTCATTGATTGGATTGAACATCACAAACCAAGAAATCAGTAGCAGATTTGCGCATATTTCAGCGAGCCGGTGCACGGTCAACATGACTAACTCTTCTGTATTTGAATGGCTGGCGGGTATCAATCGTGCAGAG